ACGAGGAGGAGAACGAAACAAGACGGTGCGGAGGTTGGAAAGTGGAGACGAAGGCCGAGCACGCGGAGGACTACGACTTGTCCAGTCGTGCGGGACAACAGGAGGAGACGACCATGACTGAGGAGGAGAGAAAACAGCCGGAGTCGGGTTCGAAGGAGGATACGTAGGACCGTACGAAGTAGGTGACTGGCAGTGAACAGGAGGAGAGGAAGGAAGACCAATGGCCCGAAGACCACTCACTGGAGGGAACAGCTGCTGCAAAGGTGGCGGCTGCGGCATCTACTGCTGCTGCTGCTGGTCCAACCGCTGCAGCTCCTGCCTCTCTTGCTCCACCCGCTCCTGCTCCTCGCGCTCAAGCCGGCAAAGGGCCTGGAAACGGGTGTCGTGGCGGTGGGGACGCGTAGTGGGCGACGCAGTAGGCGAGCCTCCAGCTCTCGTCTCCTCAGTACCAGCACCTCCACCTCCAGCACCCCCCAAACTAGCATCTCCAGTACCAGTACCTCCAGCACCAACACCCCCAGAACTAACACCTTCAGTGCCGGCACCTCCAACTCCAGTACCCCCAAAACTAGCACCTCCAGTGCTAGAACCTCCAGCTCCAGCACCCCCAGAGCTAGTGCCACCTGCGCCAGCACCTCCAGCTCCAGTACCCCTCGAACAAGCCCCCCTAGACCGAGTACTGCCAGTGGCTGCACCTCTAGCTCCAACACCAACCGAGTCCACAGTAACCTGTTGTGGAAGTGCTGAAGGCTGCTGAACGGACTGTGAGGACTGCGAGGAGGGAGACGCTACCTGACGCGCGACCGAGGGTAGAGGGGTAGCCTGAGACACACCTGACAGGGCAGGATTAGGAGGGGGGTGGGGGTACCGGAGCAGCGGGAGCACGGGGAGAAGAGGGTGCGAGGAAGAGGGGAGGAGGGGGAACCGGGAGACCTTGACAGGGGTACCGGGTGTAGTAGGACACTGACTCGTCAAACCGGACGTCAAGAGAGTCTAGAAACTGGTGGAGGGGCGGGTGGTAAAAGGAGTAGTCAGAAGAGCCCACAAGGAAACCAAGGAAGACACAGGGGATGGCGCGAGCCGAGAGCTTGTTCGCAGAGGTGTCGCGGACAAGCGCAAGACAGCCCCAAACGTGAAAGGCCGACCCAACACTAAGGGATCCAGTCCAAAGACTGGTTGGTGAAACCTCAGACCGCGAGGCATGCGGCTGGAGGTTGAGCTGGTGCGGCGTAGTGCAGCGCGTAGGGCCACATATAGTGGGGCGCATGGGCATGGATCATGGAGGTGCGGACGATGTCCATGACCAAGCCAATGAGGCGCTCAGCAACCCCATTCTGTTGTGGGGACTCCGACAGTGTCCAGGACTGTTTGATGCCCTGCTCGCCGCAGAACCCGGAAAGAACGCCGGAGCGAAACTCACCCTCACGGTCGGAGTGGAGACAACGGACACGACTACCGCGAGTGCCCTCAGTGACCAGAAGCCACCGGATCAGCATAGAAGTCACCTTGGACTTTTTCGCGAGAGGAAACATCGTGGTGAACCTGGAGTAGACGTCAATGACTACTAGAAAATAGCGCGCCCTCTCAGGTCCCAGCGTAGGGGCATGGCCCCAGACGTCCAGGTGGAGAGTTTGGAAGGGAGCAGTGGCCGGACGAAGGGAGGAGGAGTGCAGAGTGGCGCGCAGGTGACCGGCGACGCAAGGAGTGCAGAGTGGGGCAAGCGAGGGAGGGAGCGAGGGAAAGACGCGCGGGAGACCTAAGACAAGACTGTGATTGGCCATGCTGCGGAGGCGGGGGAGCGATGGGTGGCCAAGGCGGTGGTGCCACAAGACGGTGGGGTGGGCGAGGGACCGACAGGAGCAAGACGCAGCAACCTGACCAGACACCACTACCTGACCAGACACAGCAACTGGACTAGACACTGGGACCTGAGGGGACACATCGACCTGAGCAGAGGAAGTAACCGGGGAGCGCTCGGTGTGGAGAACGTAGAGACCAGAGCGGGACTCCCTGGTGAACTTGGTGAGAACAGCACCTGTAGCAGCACCTATAGAAGCGTCTGTACAGACCGCAATCCTTCCACCCCCCACAAAGGTAATGGTGATCCGCCTATCCTAGAGGTATCCAACACCCACCAAGTTCCGAGTGAACGAGGGGATGTGCAGGCCGCGCAGGACACCAGAGCGGACCACAGGGCACGGGAGGGTGGTGGAGCTGTGCGCAACGGCTGGTCCTGAAGAAGGATCAGCTAGAGCTACCGGAACCGGAGCAAGGAGTGGTGTGAGGGTCGTGTGGTCGCGGAAGAAACACTCCGACGCGCCAGAGTCCAGCGTGAACGACAGAGACGCATCAGCTGGAAGCGTGTCAGGTCCGGAGGCTACACAAGCACCTAGAGCAGAAGCACAAGCACCTGGACTAGAGAGGCACAGGTGTACACTGGGAGGAGGCAAACCTCCTAGATCACGAACAGGCGAGCACACAGATCCATCAGCATTATAGTCAACATCAGCGTACAAAGCATATTGACGAGCATCGTCCATAGACAGTTCAAATACAGGAATCTTACGGGCTAGCAGGCGAGACCGGGGAGGGGTGGTCGCCGAAGGACCCCAGCGTGCACGGTAGAGGTCGTCGAGGCGGCGGAAGCATCGCGCTGCAAGTGGTCGTCGCGGCCGCAGACATAGGGACTGCCCGGTCCGGTGACGCACCATTGGTCGCAGGGGTCGGTGTCGCGCCGCGGGGGCTGAGGGGCCCAGCTGATTGTGCTGCTGCTGCGACCAGTGCTCCCGGGTCCTCTAGGTCTCCACTGCGGCGGAGGGCCCAAGTGCTGCTGCGGACCCCATCGTAGTCGGGGGCCCCCACGACTGAAACTGCTGTGGTGCCTGCCACTGCTGCTGTCCCTGCTCCTGCTGCTGTCTCTGCTGTGGCTGCTGCTGCTGGGCCCCCGCACCACCGCTGGTCGAACCTCCTCCAGCAGGCGAGTTAGCACCTCCTCCAGAGCTCCCTCCGCCTGGGGCACCACCGCCACCGCCACCACTGCCGCCCCCAGGGCCGCCTCCACCACCGCCACCTCCTCCACCGCCGCCACCCCCTTTCCCCCCTTTCTTGCCTCCCTTGCCCCGTTTCTGCCCGTCAGCGGCAGAAACAGCTGCAGTGTCCCCAGAGACCGACACAGCAACAGAGGCACGTGTAGAAGTGAAGGTAGGAAGCTGGGGGACAGCACACCCCTCAAACAGACGAGGGGCAACTGTGTCAGTGGCTGAGGCAACAGAGAGGAGGTTACTCTCGATCTTTCCGAGAGTGGTCTCGAGAAGATCAATCGTAAAGATCAATCGGAGCTAGGAACGATGAGCGCCACATGGGACTAGGAAATGTACTGCCGGAGCACGGAGAAAACTGAGCTAGGAACACCAGTCTAGTAACGAACGGAGCTGGGAGCTAGCTGAGCTAGGAGCACACGGCTGGAGGAGGAAGGCCTGACGAGCCGATTAAGGAGCCAAGGAATTATTTGAGGGGCTGGCAGAGCGAGGAGAGACCTAGCTAACAACGACCATTAGGACTAGCCTAAACAGCTAAGTGGAGCGGCCTCTCGTGGCGACGGTGCGAAACACTGTGGGTATGAGTGACGCGAGTGTCGAACCAACGGAAGTCGGGTGGTTCTGGGTGGTGTGCGCGCGTGATGAGGGGCTGTGAGCGGTTGGAAGGGGCTGTGAGCGGTTGGAAGGGGCTGTGAGCGGTTGGAAGGGGCTGTGAGCGGTTGAAAGGGGCTGTGGGCGGGTGGGAGGGGCTAGCTGGCGGCTAGCTGCTGCTGGCGGCTTGTTGCTGCTGGCGACTAGCTGCTGCTGGCGGCTAGCTGCTAATCGCGACTAGTTGCTGGCAGCTAGCTGCTGCCTAGCCGTGCTGCTGCAGTAGCACGCGCTGCTGCCTAGCCATGCTGCTGCAACAATGCTCGCACTGCTGCAGCACTGTACGCGCTGTTGCTGCAATGCACGCGCTGTTGTTGCAATGCGAGCACTGCTGCTGCAGTGGCGTGCGCGGCTGCCGCTGGCTAACGCACGCGCTGCTGCTGCTGGTGCGTATGTGCCTGCTGCTTGCACACGCGGCTGTTGCGGGCTAAGCACGACTACGCGGGCCCGCGGGGGGGGGGGAGGGGGGGGGGTCCCTTCTGAAGCGCGACGAAACGAGGGGCCAACGGGGCCCTTTAAACGCGACGAAAAACGACGCCCGTGGGGGCCTTTGAACGTGACGAAAACGAGGCCCTCGGGGGCCGTCCTGCCCGCGACGAAAGGGACGGGCGCCTTGAGACCGGCTAAGGGAGGGAGCAGAAGCGTGGGAGGGAGAAAAATTACCTGCTCTGATACCATCTTAAAATAGGCTAGGAAGTGAGTGTCGAGAGAATTGTGAATAAGAAGGAACAAGGAGATACAAGTGTCGACCTAAATTGTTGTACCAAGACGATTAGCGACGTGGTTGGCTATCAACTTGGTGACACCCTAACCTAACCAAGATTAGGAAGGACGAGGCAGATCGGGGAAGCTCGAGAGTCCGGTTCATGATTGCCAGCTCCTTACAATACGGGACAATTGATCAAAGCTGTTTTCAACATACGATGAAGAGCAGGCATCAAACCTCAATGTGGGCCTTCTGTTTCGCATCTAAATTATTTAGAACTGTCAAGCTTGAACTCGAGAGAGGTATCGTTCTCCATACTGTTAAACATCTAGAGTCCTCATGCAGACTTCACACTTGCGACACGACACAGCCACCTGAATTCTCCTGTAAGCATCCTCTCTGATCCTTGCTAAGTTGGCTAGTGAGTCGACCAATAAAAGGTGCTAAGGTGCTATGAGTTGACCATATTCATCTCAGCTGAAGTCCTCATGCAGACTTCATGCTTGCAACAAGGCCACCTGGATTCTCCTGCTAGTGTTTTCTTACCGGTAGTTTGAAGCAAAAGACGCTGAATATCTCTTGGATCAAGTAAGGTCCTGATGCAAGCTTCAGGCTTGCGTTAAGGCCATCTGGATTCTCCTGTACGCCTCCTGTCTGACCCCTGCTAGGTTGGCTTTAATCTCCTTGGATATCCGCCCCTCCACTAGGGCCACAGGCAGCCAGAAGTGTGGGGTCAGCTCAACCGAGTAGGAGAGGGTTGTGGGGCCACAGGGGGAGCCGGGCAGCTGGAAAGGAGGGAAAGAGGGGGAGGGAGGAATGGTGTCTTAGAATTATAGAAGAAGCAAAAACGAAATGTGGGGTCAGTTCAACCGAGTATGAGAAGGTTGTGTGGTTGGAGGGGGAACAGGGTAGCTGGGGAAGAGGAAAGGGGGAGGGTGAGGGAAAGGGTTGATTTCTTCAATTTCCAGAAGAAAACAAAAAATGAAATGTAGGGTCAGGGGGAGGAGGGGAGGAAGCATTTCTTAGGGTTCTCACGAAATCAAATTCGGGGCAGCACAGGGGGGGAGGGGGGAGGGGGAATTGCAAGCACAAGAGATGGAAACAAGGGGAGTGAGAGAGGTTTAAGGATGTTCCGTAGAATTTCTCAACAACCTCGTGTGAATATCGCCCTCCACCATCTCGAAGCGCGTGCGGTGAGAGGCAAGAGCAGATGCACGAGGTTAAAAAAAGGATCCAGAGACTTCTCTCGGAAATTAGCTGAACAAAGGATAGGTGGCACCATGTCGAGGTGTGAGGCACCTCTGTATGCACGAGGAGAAAAACAATCCACAGAGACTTCTCTCGAGAGACTTCTCTCGAGAATCAGTTGAACAAATCCGGAGACTTCTGGAGAACCCACTGATTATATGCGAACGAACCTCACCTGCTCCTCCAGAGTCCACACGCCCACAAACTTTTTAAGGATAACCTTCCACCATGTTGAAGTGAATGCGGCAAGAGGCAAGAGCGGAGCGAGCGATAAGGGAAAGCATCTGGGAATTCTAGAAAACCAGCTGAAGGTGAGCAGGCCAGCACAGCGCTCACCTGCTCCTCCATTGTCCACACGCTCACAGACTTTTGAAAATCACCCTCCACCATGTTGAAGTGAATGCGATGAGAGGCAAGCACGGGGCAATGAAAGAAGGTAGCCGCCCACCCCACCAATCACACCTGCTCCTCAAGAGTCCACACGCCCACAATCCGTTTTCAAAGTCGCCTTCCACCATCGTGAAGTGGATGCGATGAGAGGTACGATCGGACACACGAGGGACAAAAGGACCCAGAGACCTCTCTAGAAGCACCTGACTCGATCAGCACAATCCGCACCTGCTCCTCAAGAGTCCACACGCCCACAAACTTTTGAAAGTCGCCCTCCACCATGTTGAAGTGAATGCGGCGGGACGTAAGAGCGGATAGACGAGAGAGAAAAGGATCCAGAGATTTCTGTATAACCAGCTAACCGGATCAACACAAAGCTCACCTGCTCCTCCAGCTTTTTTTAAATTCTGTTAATAAAAACAGATTCAGCAAACAATCCCTCCCCCTCGGATTAACACAAAGCTCACCTGCTCTTCCAGAGTCCAAACGCCCTCAAACTTTTGAAAGTCGCCCTCCACCATCTTGAAGTGGATGCGGCGCCTCCTCATGCTGCCTCCCACCCCGCCAATCGCAGCATCACTCTCCTCTCCGCTGCTGCTGCTGCTGCTGCTGCTGCAGTCGGTGCTGCTGAAGCTTCTGGGAAGGTCACGAGGCAGGCGCTCCTCCTCCCCTTCCTCCACATCCACCACCACCTTGGCTCTGAACTTGATGCCCATCGCCACGTCCTGCTCGCCCACCTGAAGGATAGGATAAAATATGATATGACAAACAGAAAAAGGGGCGCTGTGCACTATGGTACTGCAGGGTTCACATCCACCACCTCCTTGGCCCGGAACTTGATGCCCATCGCCACGTCCTGCTCGCCCACCTGTGAAGAATAGGGAGGATAAGATGTGATATTACATGTATCTGATATAATATGATTTGATGTAATATACTAAGATATGATGTGATATGATATGATATGGTATGATATGATATGATATGATATGACATGATATGACTACCATTGCATCCTCCACCACCTCTTTGGCTCACACCGTAACCCCATTGCCATGTCACATCACATCATGTCCAAAAGAACCGAATGCACAAGGCAGAGGGCAAGGATTGGGAAGGGAGGGTAGAAGCAGAGGGAAGGGAGGGTAGAAGCGGAGGGAAGAGTGTTTGCTAGGGAGGAGGAGAAGGGATACGAAGCACAATGCCATCTCCGCTACAAACGTCTTCTTGAACCTGGCTTTGCTCGTACCTGCAGCAGCCTAGCTCCGTTGCTTCGGCGCTGCAGCATCTGATTGGTCGCCAGGGAGGGGATAAAATCCGCGAGCCGCTCATAGTCTGTCAGCACGCCCCACACCACGTCAGCACTCGCGGGAACCACGACGCGCGCGCTCACGCGACGCGAGTTGCTTCCCAGTACCTCCACGCTCGCGTCGCCGCCACTCGCGCCAGCAGCCGCGGTGGAAGCGGGACCCGCGGAGCCGTTAGCGGAAGGCTCGTCTCCGTCGGAACTCCTAGCTGCCACGTCATACGAGCGCCGATTGCGGCGGGATAGCCGGGTCTCACTACGGCCATGAATGACGGAAAAAACGGACCGATACCTTGGAGAACTTGGCCTGCTCGTGGTTCGAAAGAGAAAATTCGAGGAAGTATCGAAGCTGGGGAGCTGACAAACGTTGCGAGCCCAACTCGCGGGTCGTGCGGCTCGAACCAAAGGTAGATCGTTAGAGAAAAGTGAAGGATTCGCGACGGCGTTGCTAAGGGCGGCAGGAGCCATTAGATTAGAGGCGAAAGCAAAACGCCGAATGGATGGGCAGGTGAGAAGAAACTCAAGACAAAACAATCGGACGTGCGAAATCCACGTTTATATGCTTGCCTCGGTTCTCCCACCACGGAATGTCAGGGATAAGGGCTAGCCCCCGGACCAGTCATGAAAAGAGAATGGGTGACTTTCCGTGACTCTGACGCACTTTGCGCTGACCAATAGGAAAGAAACCGAAGCTGACGTGGATTGTTATCTTGTACGGAGCCGCCGATTTCTCCTTTCTTTCAGGGTGTGGTGTGTATGGATGGAGGTGGTGCCGTGGGTGGAGGGGGAGACCGCAATATTGTACACTTTAGAATGTTTCTCGCTAATACTGCGGAAAACACCAAGTATAGAATACAATGTTAGAATAACATCGGAAATGACTGCGTGACTCTTCCACCACTCAAACGTGTTCGAAAAATATTCGAATGTCGCTGAATCATCGTCGCCCATCGTCACAGCGTCGTTTGTAAGATCGACATGAAAATATTCTGCTCAGGCGAAGCCAATCTTAGCCGATCCACAACAACCCGCAATCGCGGTCTCGAAGCGGGACGAGCGTTCGCTGGAAAGGGCGCGAAGCGCTGTGGCGGCAGCTTTACTGATATATACGCGCTCCACTCCGAGTCGGCGTCGATGATTCTTGTTCCGCCGGATGCTTGTTTCGAGCGTGAATCGCCATATCACGTAACGCAATAGTGACCCTCGCGACGATGAAAATCGCCGCTCGCGTCGAGCCCGCCGTTAGCGGAAGGCTCGTCTCCGTCGGACATCCTAGCTGCCACATCATACGAGCGCAGAATGCGGCGGGACACCCGGGACTCTCTCCGGCCGTGATTGACGAAAGAAGCGGACCGAAATCTATAAGATCCTGGCTTGTTCCCGGTTCGAAGAAGCAAGTTCGAGGAAGCATCGCAGCTGGGAAGCTGACAAACATTGCGAGCGGCTGAAAACTTCCTATCGCGTCGAATCAAACGGGGAAGATATTTAGCAAAAAGTGGAGGTCTCGAAACCGCGTTGCTGAGGGCCGCATGAGTCATGATGGCCGAGCAAAAATAGTACAAGAGAAAAACTCAAATAGATGGGAAGGAGAGGAAGGACGTTAAAAATCAACGTTCTGGGGTTTGCCTCGGTTTCCCCGACACGTGGTGCACTTTGCAGCGGTGCACGTGCCGCACTCGCGCTGACCAAAAGGAAAACACGAAGTTTATGGGAAATATTATGCGGTGCCTCTGGTTTCCCCCCTCCATTTTCAAAGAGAAAATTGGATGGAGGTGGTGGGGGTGAAGAAGCAGACGAAAATGTTGTACGCTTTATAAGTCGTTTTGTTAGCAATATATATATCTAACACAGGTAGTTATAGTAAAACAACATCGATATTCTTCCGCTCCAACTCATGGCGCTGGAACCATGGAAACAGAGCGTGCACTTGAAACACGAGCTATTGAACGGACAAGAACCTTCATCTCGGCACGCCCGATGTCCCAGCATCACCCTCCACCGTCGAATCGCAGCATCATCGCCCGTCATCGGACCATCATTTCTGCGACCCGCAAACTTCAACGTTAATCAGGCGAAGCTTAACTCAGCCGATCCGCAACCCTCGATCGCGGTCTCGATGCGACGCGAGCGTTCGCCGGAAAAGGCACGCATCGCCGCTGGGGCAGGATACATACGCGCTCGAATCCGAACAAGAAAACTTGTTATGAGGCGCCTCGAGAAGAGAAGCACGCGGCGCCGCGGGGCCGGGTTAATATATACGCGTTCGACGTAGAGTCGAAGACGCTAGTTCCGCAGGGCCTTGTTTCGGGCGAACCGCCATCAAGTGAAGCAACTGTGTCGCTCGGGACGCCGAAACTCATCGCACGTCGACGCCGCCAGATGACAACCGGCGGCGCGAAGCGATGCGTTGCTGAGTCGCCCACGTGAACACCGACAGCAGCCGGTCGTCGTCGTCGCGTCGGCATTCGTCGCTTCCGGGAGTAGTAATACTATTAGTAGAAGAACTAGGACTGATCATTGGCGACGCAGTCCGCGCCGCGTGACGCTCCGCCGAGCTCTGCGGCGAGCTCGCCGCCGAGCCGCCCTGCGCCGCACTGGTTGTGCTCCCGACGCGCGGAAGCTCCAGCGGACAAGCCGCCGGCCCGCGAACCGCGTTTCTCGCAAGGTAGGAGTCCGAGCTTGCGCGGTGAACCGCGGGACGCGCCACGTCTGTCGCGGCAGTAGTCGGTGAGTACGGCTTTGGTTGCGGTGGTAGTTGCGCGGCAGCGGCGACGGCCCATGATGCGGCGGCGGCGGCGGCGGCGGAGGCCACACGAGATTCGTCGATGGAACGGCGGCGGCGCGACAGGGTCGATGGGGGGCCTGTTACTGAGTCTAACGCGGGACTGCTGAGCGATCGCACGCCACGCCGCAGGCTGTTTCGGGTGTTCGCAGAACCGTTGGGCGACGCGTTGCTGTCGCCGGCTGTCGCACGGTTCCACATCTCGAGTCGGGTGTCGAGGCGGGAAAATCGAGCGGGGCCGGCCTTGTTGGGATCAGTAGCAGCAGCAGCAGCAGCGGAATCAGCGGGAGCTTGAGAGGACTCGATGAAAAAAACGGGAGCAGGCCGATCGGCGTGGTTAGACGACGAACACATCTTGTGGGACTTGCAAACTAGGTGCGCGGGACGAGACTTGCAAAATAGGTGCGTGGGATGTGACTTGCAAATAAGGCACAAGACTTGGTAAACTCTACGAATCCAACGAGCCCTTACGCTCCCTAAATAAGGCTGGGATTCTCTTCAAGCTCAAAGCTGTGCGCTGGAAAGGGGCTGTCAGTCTCCCTTAGTGTCTTCCCCTCCCCACTAGCAGCTGGAAAAAAGTTGGAGCTTGGAAGCACCTTCCACTGTGGTGCACTCATTTCTGTTCGTCTGCCTTTCGGTTTTGCAATGATGGTAACCACCAGCGAATAATGCCGAAGAGCATTCAGCTCATCTCGAAGAAGGCAGAGAAGGGCCCACGTTTCCCACCAAGCGTCATCGAGTGTAGATTTGGTTGGCGAACTGAGCAGCGAAGGTTGGAGGGGAGTTGCTTGTGCACCATGGAACGCACGTGTCCACGCAACTGCCGTTGGCGCTTCGACTCCTTATCTTTTTCGATTTGCCCCATTCCGTACATGCCCACCCCATAAGGGCACAAGAGGGAGTTTAACAACTTCGACAGCTGGTTGGGTCCACAAGGAACAGACTACACTGCCTACCTGTGGTAATTCTCACTGCAGTTCCGAAACTGAGAGGAATTTGTCAAGAAATCTCGACCGCACAGCAAGATGTGTGAAAATAGAAACGCAAGATTACGTACGACTGCTCGTTTCTCGCAAAATCTATCAAAAAGGGTACAGCTGAGCAACAGCTGTCTGTTCACAGGTGTTCTATGGGCATTCGTTGGAAAAACGGAAATAAGTACAATACAGTACAGCTTTTGTTTCCCCTCTGTTCAGTTTTTCTATGCCAGGGTTTCCGGATTTGAAGTTCTCAACCCACCCTTGTAGCCAAGCAAATAAGATTTAGTTACGTGTGAAATCACTCCACGAAATCACTCCAGTGGGGAGGTATCTTTGGTCGGAAACCAATGATGACAAAATCGTGGAGGAATTTCATGGCCCCATTCTTCTTCATCCTCGTCACTGCGGTGAACCAACATGCCTAAAAGTAATACCGGTACCTACATCTGTTGGAACCAATGTTACAACACTAGAATACTAAAGTAGCACATCTATTGGTAGGAGTCATTTTTTTTTTTTTTTTTTTTTACGGTGGGGTTGTAAGTATTGAAGACAGAACAGTCATTCACACCATGTGTCTCGCCATAGTGTGTCTGAAAAAGAAAGGGAATGGAGAAAGAAAGGGAGAAGGAAAATGAAACTCCCAAAAAGAACCCAAATGCAACACACATAAAACCCCCCCTCAAGATACCCAGTCAAAACGCCCAGTCAAGACACCCCATCAAGACATCCCATCCCACACCCCATCCTCCCCCCCCCCCCCCCCCTCAATCACATCAACGTATCGACCATGTACGGGGCCTCCACCCAGAGAGCCCCGCCTTCCACATCGACATCGTCCCTCTCCCGATCCGCCAAATCTACGTTAATCCCCCCCATGGAAGACGCCGCTCGAAGCAGGATGACACGGGCTTGCGCACGTTGTAACGCCACCCCGATGAGCGCCTTCAGTGACCCTAAAAGATAAGCCGAAAACACAGAGTCGTCCTCTCGACAAGCCCCCCGCGACACAGCTAGCCCCACGTGCGCATCCCCCTGCTGACGAAGCCACCGCTGAAAACGACCGCCGAGACACCCCCACGTCTCAACTATCAAAGGGGTGAACTGCACGCCCCGGTTGCGTGCAAGCAGAGGCGCGTAATCACTCGTTTTGCGACGCTCCCATTCCCTTGCCGTCACACCTATTTGACGCCCGCACTGTCCCAGCAGTGATGGAGACA